AATTTGACGACGTCAAGGAACCAGCATTTAATTTAAATTATGTGAAATTTCACTCAACTCTCCGAATGCATACCACTAAGGGAGAGTAAGGCAAAGACAGTTGTAACTGTAGAGAGTAAATTTTTTTTTTGGCACTTCAAATCAATCAGTTTAATGTTCTGTTCAATTTAAGTCCGATATAGTACTCTATTTAAATGTCATAGAGGTATAATTAAGAACATTTCTTAACAATTTCAATTTCTATAATTAATTTCAAATTTTCAGGAGCTCTTATAAAATATGCAATCACAGATTCAATATTTTTACACCGTTAATTATGACCAATGAAACAGTTTATCAACTTAAGTATTGTTGTACAACTTAAAAAAAAAAATATTCCTTTTAGAATTTTGTTTTGATAATCTTAGTGGAAAATAAATTAATGGACAATTTCCAAAATAACTCAGGGATGCTACTTTTTCCAAAACGTTTTAATGCTTTATATCCCTGTATCATTCCATAATGAAGATAGCAACGGCATATGTAAATTAGTTACAGCTGTAGGGGTGGTGTTGATTGTTTTAACATTTTTCTTTTGTCACACGTAGCAAACATCCTCCATAAAAAAATAAAAAGGGCAGCAAATTCAATATTGTATTTGAAAGAGAAATGCTCGTTGAAAATTATTAGATAAAGAATCAATTTGAATTCTTGACACATCATTGAACAAGGCAGACACCGCAAAGCTGATAGGATCAAAATTCTCCTTCTATTTTGGCTCAAATAAAAGGAATTTCCTTGTTTTTTTTTAATTTCCGGTGATATTTTCTTCTGGTCTAATTTGACTACTTTTTACACTCCAAAAACATGGAAATCTAAAATAAAGTGATCTATGGCTGTACAACTTTCTCAATGAAAATATGATTTTATATATATTACGCGATATCATTGCAATTTTGACTCATTTGTTTTCTCTATCTACCTTGTAAGTTTATTTGATGTATTGTTCACTAAAAATGATTGAAAACATAAAGTTTTCTAAATACTTTGGTTTTCTCATGTACAAAGTGCACAGTAGTGATAAGCTTTTTCACTAAACTAAGTATTTTTATTCATTAAAGGGAAATAGAATTCAGTCATCCTGCTTTATCTTCTTTTAATATCTTATGTAAAATAAACTCAACAATAATGAAAGATATGTTCATTCATTCATTCTGTTAATTATCTGGTACGAATAAAAAAGAGATGGACAAAAACTGTTCTCCTCTTATTAACATACAATTATGCAAATTATAAGATCTAATAGAACGCCTTTTATTTGACACTGAGCTTTAATTCAAAGCAAGTTCTGTCAATTTCAATTTTCTTTATGAATTCACAAAATCAATACTTTTCCACCGTTGACTAATTAACAACATTGTTTCTAGTGAGATATTCTAACATGGTTTTAATCAGCTTTATTTAATCCAAGGTTGAAATTAGATTATGTACAAGGTTTAAAACCACTCAAGAAATAAAAAAAAAATATTTATTTGATTTCCGAATCCCCCAAGTCCACCTAGCCTTCTGCCAGGAATCATATTGTCAAAGGACAATGTCACTTCCCATCTATAAAATGCTGGTAATTAAAGGCCAGTCAGTGAACTGTACAGTCAGCGACAGATGTGCAAAGAGGAAAAAATATATACATATGATAATATATGTTAAATGATAACCTGATGCTCGATAATGGTCCTCTATCTTCAATGTATGTATATCTTCAATGTATGTTTGATCAATAACCAAAATCTTTTACCAAATGCAGAAAGCAACAATAAAACACTTAATATTACGAGTGTTTCTTTTTCATTGGCTAAGAACCGTATAAACTCTTTTTTTTTTGCTATTTGTATCCCGTTGTATTCAATTAAAAATTCAAAAGTCGATAATTCATTTAAAGGAGATTTGCTCGGAGTATAACGTAAACAAATCGCTCCCATTTTATTTTCGCCATTTTCAACCTACTCATACGTGAAATTAAATCGGAGCGAATGCAAAGAACAAAATATAATAAATTAAGCATAACAATTTTAAAATGAGGTGACATGTATGCAAGTTTGAAACAGTGAAAATAAGACGGGTCGACAATAACCCTGGTAACAGATCACAATTTATTTGTTCTATGAACACACTGCTCGATAATGCAAATTTTTGTGGTAATTCTATTTTTACAAGCACTGTGAAGTTGTAAAAAATTCAATCTTTTATTTTGGCTCAATAAGGGGGAGTTATCTTCATTCGTTTGACTAGTGATAATTCCTTCCGGTCTAAGAATAAACTGAGCAGATTTAATTTAACTTTAGAGATGTTTGTGTCATTGCAGGTAAGTATACTTTCTAAAACATTTTTTGGGGGTTTTTGTTAGCATTAATTGAGGTAAGACTATCACACAGTTTTGAAGTCAAAAATATATGGTATAGCTTTCGATAAGGTAAGAATGTTTTCTTCCTTGAGCGATGTAAGATTTTTTTCCACTCGACTTAAAAGAAATCCTTTGCTTTTATTTCGAAAATTTAAGTGTTTAAAATGATTATTTTTGAGCAGTAAAAACTTCCGAAATATTTTAATAAAATTGAATTAGTAAGTTATTCGAAAAGTTCATGAAAAACAACATTGTTCGATTTCAAGGAAAAAAAAAAGCCCGGATCCCAAATCTGATGTTTTAAGAGATAGTATGCTCTGATCCCATATTGCATTGTTTCTAGTCTTTTTGAGCCCAATTTCTGTTCATTATCTTCATTTTGAATTAAAACTGACATCCTATCTGAAAAAAAGCGAATCCTTCGTCATGAAAAACAATGGATAACACTGTACACTAAACAAAAATTAACAATTTAGATGTTTAATGTCTTAAATACATGCAAGAGATTTTAAACAATGACGGAATGTAAATGTATATATCAGACTGTTGTTGCTTATCAATTTCTACAGAAGGCCAAAGTCCAAAAACTAAAGCAGCTAGAATACATTTTTTACTGAAGCAAATTGACACAAGTTCATCTCTCATACTGAATTTGTCATCTTTCGACTACTTGGTTTACGCACTGCATATTGCTTTTCAATGTTTATAATGATTGGTTAAAAAATACAACCTCCGGTACCGTCATCCCTATTATAATGATTGTTTATCATTATGAACTTGAAATCCGATAAACCACAGGGTCTTAAAGTTTTCATCTTCTGATCATGTCCCTAGAAAAGACATTTATGGAAACAGGAAAATGTTATTGTAAAGGTGTTGAACTCAACAGTTATATCAAAAACTTTCCAAATTGGTGGAGATATATACCCTTATTACCTACATATAAAATCTATGACTCTAAACTGATTCGAAACCCAAGAATGTGTTCTACGTACAAACATTTTTTAATGGAGACAATCTTTTGACAAACAGTTCAAAACTAGGATATCAATAGTCTCGTTTTAAGGTAACATTTGTAAGTTCGTTGATCTATATAATAACCTTAATAGCAAAATACAAAATATCAAAAAGTCGAATTCATACTTTTTAAGACTATTGCGCGGATCTGTTAAGGTTACAATGAGATATTCTATTATCTTAATCAATGTGACGTCATTAGTAAGCTATATGACGTGAACTTCAGAGATACATGTAAGAATTTCTTAAAATCTGTAGTTATAGAATGATTTTAGGTCCTGAAAAAGGATGAATACATACAAAATATCAATAAAAACAAAGTATGTCGTTTTTAGGAAATATTAATTGCTATGTTTTTGTCTCGGAGATTAAAAAAAAAAAGTCATGAATGTTAATCATCTGAATTTGAAGAGTGAAAATGAAATGTGACATGAATTCATGTAAACAAACAGACGGAATCTGATTTAAAAAAAAACTAACATGAGAATTATGCGTGATTCATGCAGAATTAAAGATTATGGATAAGGTACGCTTATTTATTTTTACAATTTCTACGTATAAGGAAAGCAGACGGTGTTTTACACCAAATCAGTTTTTCCTAGAAACGTTCACTTGAACACTACACCGCATACTTTGAAACATATTTTTTTGTTCTATCGAACGTTCTTCTGCAACAGTTCTTGGAACGTGCAGCTAGAATGGTGTGGCTAACGCCACTTGTTTAATATTCTACGATCTATTATTCAAAATGTTAAGATTTTGGTAAGATCTCAAACGTAGGAGTGCAATAATCATTTATTTGATAGGAGTGTAAGATTGTACATGAAGCAGTGCTGTCCATAGTCTTGAGCTTATTTTATATTACTTTTATTACAAATGGAAATCAATTATGCCCGGGGTAATGTTGAACTTTTTCCCCGTAAGATATATTTTCCAGAGTCTCAACTTGACACAACCTAAAATAAACCGAATCCAAAGCGCACGCCGGGTTTGCTATCTGAGTCCGCTTCGGGTTCCCTCTTAATCCGCTAGGGCTGACCCTGAGCGAACCTGGAGCACGTCAAAAAAAAAAACCCAGAGCGAACGCCGAAAGCAAAACCTTATTTCAGTAGCGTACCAAGGGAGCGAACTGGTATTTGGTTTAACATAGTTGAGGTGTCAATCAAAATTAATGATTGTCAAATCAGCGCATCGACCATTCAGCATGGCAAGGAGATCTTTCAGTTGGGATAAAAGATCACATGCATTGGCCAGTCAGCGCGTTAACCAGTGGACCAGCTTGTTAATCGATATAAGTTTAAAAATCGCACATGTATAAGCAAAGCGTGTTAATGTACAGTGTATTAATTTATAATTAATATCATTATAAGAATATGATTGTATATTGATATATTTTTAATTTACAGGCGACATGTTATATCCAAATTTTTTTTTTTTTTTTGTTTTGTTTTTTGTTTTTTGGAGATAATTAATAGAATTAATAGAATTAATAGAAATCATAGAAATATTATAGAGGAAATTCAGACTGTAATCATTCATACTTATGGCCCAAATTCTAATCACTTATATATATTTCATATTTCATCCATTTCATAACTATAATAGTTCATTAGTTAAAGAGTTTCGTTGCTTGTAATGTTTTGTGTGAAAAGGAAAAAAATAGCCAAAGTGTGAAAAATGAAGAATTTTCCCAGAAATACTCGATTCGTTTTTTCAAACATCAGTCCAGTAATCAATAATAATACGCTTTAAAGAACAGCCGCATAACACATTCCATTTAATGTTTATTTGTTGAATCTAGTCCTTCATCCCTCTGCTGTTTGAGTGAGTCAACAAGGAGGATTCCCTCATATAGCTTCTACTCCTGATAGTCAACAAGTAAATATCCTTCATTTCCTTTATTCGGTACGGCATCAGGTACCTCTGTTCTGTTCTGTTTTGACACATTTATTTTCTTTCTTTTATTTCATAAAAAGAAAAATATCATATATTTTATCAACAAATATATTTCAAAATTCAAAAATTTCGTCAATTGCACCCTTAATCAAATCGGTCAAAATATCGGTGTTCATTTTACCTACCGCTTTAGACAGAATAAAGCGAGTAAGACTGCGGTCACAGTAACTGTTGCTAAGAAAGTCCCAATCGCCACATAAAATCTGAGCTGCCAATCTGGTTCTTCGTGAGTGTTAACTACAAGGCAAGATCATAAAACAAGATTTGAAAAAAAAAAAAACAGAATGGAGAAAGCAATCATTTGATATTGTTTTTATGTATGGGTATTATGATTAGTTTAGTAAAGACATATATACACTTAACAATCAGAATTTTAATTATTTTTTTTTTTGTTAGACTTTTGATGATCTTTAATACAGGTACAAGTGAAACTCCGAGTTTACGTACTGGAAAACCTATCGACAGGGAATTTCATGTTTACATTGATTAAAGATCCCTAAGGAATAGGAGCAGTTGCTATTTTTATACTATTAAAAAGTATCCGTCGAACCCTGTATCTGCAAGGAATTTGACTGATAAAACACATTTATTTATAGTACAGTGCAATGATGTAATGATAAATCCAAATACACCAAACATGCTTATAATGAGGTGTCATGGTCGGACTTATTCTTGTAAGTAGAACGTAAAAATAGTGAAGAATGTCAGATTTATATCGTTCTTCAGTAAAAGAAAATAACAAATTCAGAAAAATATACTCTTACTCAGTAAAAAAAAACTTTATCTACTAAATTCACACTAATATTGTAAGCCAATGACAACTCTTTTGTCGATTTCAAAAGTTTATTAAATAATTCCAATTTACAAATTTTCCGTGAACGTATGGTTTTAGAAATATTCGTTCCTGAAATATGATCAGAAAAGACCAATACCTTTCTATATAGATGTCCAAAGGGTCCGTCCAAAATATAAAGAGTTTAAGACCGAACTCCAAATAAATAGATAAACAAAAGTCCAAAAGAATGATTCCCAAAATCATAAAATGCCAAAGAGATGTAATAATTTGAGAATAAAACCGGGAATAGGAATAAAAGCGGGAATAAAAGCGGGAATGCTCTTTTCTGACTAAAACAGGGCATTTTTTTGCTCAGTGGGTATCCATGGTCCCGGATATAAAAATGCATTTCATTGGCTAATTCACCATCACTAACCACCTACGCTTTGTCCGTAGGTCTGTCCGTTGACCTATGAACCCCAACATGGCACCACCCTTGAATACAGGTAAACAATCATTACTAATTTTTATGGGCTCAGTCCCCATCTTTGCACCACAGGAGTTCTAGCCTTAAGCTCTTTTACTTATTTACTTCAAAGTTCCAAATTTTATTGCTCTTAGTCAAAACTCTTAATAATACCATTGTATTTCCGTTAAAATTTTATTACTTACTATCGATGGGCTTGATTGGTCTATTCGGATCAATTTCATTACAAAATGATCTACCAAATTATAGTGCATTTGAACAACAACAAAATCCAATTTGTTTTGACAAGTTATTAATTGTTTACAAAATTAAAGTCCTTTTTCCAATTATATATCACCGAATCTGCTAATAATAAACTTTCTGATTTAATAAACCTTTATATCATTTTACTTTCACTGCTAATAACTAAAAATGATTATGATATTAATATTGTCTAAGTTTAAAATGTTCAAACAATGTGTCTGTGCTAAACCCTATAGGTTTACAATATCCAGGATTTGAGTTTTCACGCCACTGGCATTCCCGATTTTCTATATGACAAAAGGGGCAGGTACCAGGACAGGGAAGAGAAGAGTTTGGTCAAAAGTACTGTATACAGGAAAATTTTCGCCCCTGTTTTATTTTTGCCCCTTTCGCCCACCGTCATTTTGGGGAATTTAAAACGGGGCGAAATCAATGAATATAGAATAATTTCTCAAACAAAAGTTTGACTCGGCAAACTTAAAGCGGGGCGAAATTTGTTGCAATTGTGAAAGGGCGAAAATAACACGGGGCGAAAATAACCGTGGATACAATATTCAGTACTGCAGTCTTAATTATACATGAAGGAAATTAAACTTTTTTTATTTTTATTACACTATTGGTATTAAGCAATTGATGAAATAATGAAATGAGTACATGGTCTTTAGTAAAGTTTGTTGTTTTGTTTTGTTTTCTTTTTAAACATAAATGGATACTCCTTTCTTACTGAATTTATACTGAGGTCCCTCGTATCCGGGTATATTTTGCAGACATGCTCCTGACTCTATATTACAATAACTACAATTGTAAGGACAGGAGAGAGAGCAATTAAATCCATAATATCCCGACTTGCAACCTATAAATATAAAAACGATCATGTTCTTTGTTAATAATAAAATGTAAAACAAAAAAAAAATCTTAGATGCTAAAAAATTAATTTTCATAACAGAAAAAAATTAATACTGCTGTTTTGGATGATGAAACATAATTTTGATAAATATTTGGTTTTTTTTTCTGTTTTGTAGCGCAATATATAGCTTACCATAAACCTCAATTTCACAGAGATCAGTGACAGCCTTACTGGAATAATCCTCAGGATATTTAACTCCTGGAAGCCTCTCATTATAGAAGATGACGTATTGCCCATGGATTAGACAAGATATATCGAAAACAGTTGGTAGCGTAGATTTAGTGAAATTCGTGTCATGAAAGCAAATGTAGCTATCAGATCGATTGGTTGTATTTGATACATAGATATAAAACCCCAGACTTCTGTGGGCTAACTTATCAGGTGTATCTACAATACAAAAAAGTTTCACAAAGCATTTTTTTCCTACTCAGAGTAAACTCATAACATTCTTTTAGTTTGAAAATTATATGTAACTAGTATTTCAACTGTTTTTTTAGAGTTCAAGAGGCAAAGTATTTAAGATTGTTTATGGAAATATCGGTAAAACTTTGGTTTAAAGTACATTTTATAGCATTATGAAGAATTCTGATTTATATTTGATAGTTTATTTTCCTTATAAGTTAGGAACAGCATCCTTATAAGTGACCTTATTGAAATGTTATATATTCATTAAATATTACCACCAACAATGAAGTTACCATTAATTTAAAATAAATTTTTTCAATTATTATTCTCCTTAATTTATAATCTTAATTCACAATAACTTTAATTATAATTCATTAACGTACCCAACTTGTTATTATCATTTCTTAGATAAATCCTTATGTCATGAATGCTATAGATTGATGTAAGGTTCACCCAAAAAGTGGAAGGACCGTCTTGTCGCCGTGATATAGCGCATTGTCCTCCCTTTCCGTGGAGGTTAGATTTCAATCCGTCGACGGCGTTGCTGGAGTGGTATAATTGGTTTCCTGGCCAATACTGATTTGCTTGCCATGTTGGTTTATTCAAAGCCAGATTCACTGAAATGTCATGTTCTGTATTAACATTAGTTTGTCTATAAATCAGTCTAAAACGTAGAAAGATTTTAAAATTTATTTATTATGTTAATCATTTCACTATAGCACAACTATAGCCTTGATCTAAATTTATTAACCCATGGATTTCGATATCAGTATGAAATATTGAGATCACGCAATTTATTTAACTGATTTCTTGAACAAGTACTACCGATTTTGCAAGTTACACTCTGACAAAAGTCTGATAATGTATAGCGCTGTTTGACTAACACCTGTTTGTTAAAGTTTTTTTTTTAATAAGGCGTAGATTGATGTCTACAAATGTCTTCCTGGTATCTAAAGCCAGAAAGCCGAATCTTCCAACACACTTAAAGCTACAGACAAAATATACCACGTGGAGAACTTTTGAGATCAACAAATTAATGCTTATAATTTGCCAAAAAAAAAAAATCAGGATTCTAATGCCCTACTTGACAAAATAACTATTTACCATGAGAGAGAGAGAGAGAGAGAGAGAGAGAGAGATGGAAAAATTCATACACCTTATACGTTATTATTGACCATTGAATTTATTATTTTTAACCTTGGTGTTAAAATAAAAATATTCAATAATTATTTTTCTTAAAATGTACTTGGAAACAGATGAGGACGGTTTAGCTACATTTGAAGTTGAACTTATTAATAGTTGTATTGCCTGTAATTCAATGCATTAAGGGTTTCTGATAAATACCGTATGGTATGGAAATATGCAATATCTAATTAGTATTTAGTGGATTTCTGTTTTGTTTTTTGTTCGCTTTTTCCCAACCGAATTTGCGAAATAATCTACTCTTAACTGAATCATTATTTAAGTTTAATACACAAATGGTATTTAGTATTTTAGTATTTGGTAAACTGTAGAATAAGTTTATTTTTTCATACATGCGTATAATGTACATCAGGTCTATAAGATAAATGGTCCTCGGAGCAAAAAACATGCCCTGATTGGAGTAAATTAACACTTTAGCATTAAGAAATGAAGTCTTTTACATGTAGAAAGATTAAAGGATGGTTTTGAGATTCATAAATGATATATTTATTTTCCTGATCGACGACAATGTTACTGTGGCGTTAAATACGTATATTTTACTGTGGCAGAACTATGACCCTAATTTTTAAACTATGACCTTTTGGGTTTTAACTGTGGTCCGACTGCAACCTTTAACAGTCAATGGAGAACTGTAGACATTTGACAAAAGATTTTTTTATTCCTTACAAATAACAATCAAACTTATATTTGATTCCCTGGAATTGTAGGTGGGCGAAAAAATGATTTATAAAGTGTAGTTAATGGCATCTTGTGTAAAATATAGACATGTTTTATGTTGAGATAGGACAGATGATTCCTTCAGTCTTACGTAAAAAGTGCATGCACAGACTTCACTGTCTTGAATATTTTGCTTCTTTGAGCATAAAGAGCAGTGATAAGGAATCAGTAAGAAATACCCACGTAAAATATCAAATCCCTAGCTTCAACCAATCAAACATTATTGGAAAAGTTGTTTTTTTTTTTTGGCGGACGAGCAGACAAACAGACAGATAACGTTTAAGCGTCATTATCTGTAAGCATCAAAATGGGCTGGAAAATGATTATTACGGATTTTGCTGTAACTTGGTCAAATAATTACATTATAAGCCCTATTTACAAAAAATATAATTAAAAGTGATCAATTGGTCTTGTTTCCATGGCAACCAGGTTACCCGTTTTTGCACATAGGTGGTAAATGCCTAAAATGATATTTCTTCCCATTAATGTACATTTAATTAAATAAAGGTGATTATTATTAGTTTTTCCTTTGAAATAATTTGTAAATTGTATTTTCTATGCAAAAAACTTGAAAAAAACATTTGGACCTGCCGTTAAATGCCAAATGACATAAGAAATTGCCTTAAAAAGAGGGGGGTTGAACACAACAATGTACACAAAAAACGCAGGAACTGGTGGAATATTCTGATGCTCTGAAGTTCACCTTATACATTTATGAAGAACATATGAAAAATCTGGAGAGGTAATATTTACTTTAAGAAAATAAATTGATTCTAAAGTTTGGAAAAATCTCTAAATTCACATACATTTTCGCCAAGAGTTACTTCCCTTTTCGGAAATCTTTTACTTTATTCGATGAATATGAAAGTAAAAGTACACAGCAGAAAGCAACTTTTAGGAGTAAATACTGTGTGTTTTGGACATTTTCGGGGATTTTAATCCAACTTGTGAAGTATTTAAAATTACCCATTGTTAAATGATTGTTCAGTCTTTACGGTGTCTGACAGATATACATGTTTGATGTGATCAACTTAAAAATGGATTGCATCCTATGAAATTCCTGCCTATGTGACAACAAGTGTTGAATCATTAATAAAAAGTGTTTAAAAACAAATTAAGTAACGTCATTTAAATAGACTTCAGCGCTAAGAGTGGGATAATAAGGTTTTGATGAAGAAATAAGCACGGCAATAAGAATCACTAGGATAGTACCAATGAAATATTTACCACGTACATGTACATTAAAAGTTGCACATATTTTGTATGAGTTTATTATTAATAATAGGGCATGACTATTTATTATAGAAATAACTTTATAGTATACAAACCATAAATAATGAAAAGAATTTAATTATATCATTTATTTATAGTAAAGACATATTATCAATCTTATTAAAATCATATGTTGATGAAAATTATATAAATCATCTGTGAATTAAAATCATATATGTTATTTTAAAAAAAAACTTAAACTAAAGGAATTCTTTATATCACAAAATCTAAATATTTCAATTGTGTGCTTGAAAAAAAAAAGAGGGGAGGGGGTTAAAAATTATTGCCATGCAAGGTATTTCATCAATTTTTTAAAGAATTAATTTCATGAATTTATCATTAAAAAAAAAATATATCGGTAATTAATTTTATTTTATTTTAAATGTTGATCTTATGATATCACATCGCTAAACTGAAAACGTGACAAATCTGCAATTTTCTTTTAGATTTCAATTTGTGTGCAGGACTGAAATTTGTTGTTGCAAATTTTTTTAATGGGGATCGATGATCGTGGGTGAATGTACCCTTTTATTCGAACTTGAAATTATTCCAAAAATAATATTAATACCAGATTATTTTATTGCGTCAAAGAAAATATAAATTATTTAAATATTAAGAGTTTTTGTCAAAGCAAACACTGTCAAAGTTGAATTGAAGTCAAATTTATAATAAAGTATGTAAATTTTACTTAAACAATGTATAATGAAGGAAAACGTTAAGATTTATAGGAAATGTGGCAATTTTCAGCGGAGAGGAGTTCCATTCAAGTACATGCCGAAATTGGGGATATGTGAAATTGTCGATGTTGAAATCATAGATTTATGTGCCCAAATTATAGCTGAGAAAGAAACATATTATATTTGATTTTGTAATATTTTATGAAGATATGTCAGTATTCTATGTATCACAGACTTTATGTTCTGGAAAGCATATCATTTGGAAGCTTTCCAAATACTGAGTATTTTTAAATTAAAAAAAATATTTAACTTGAAAAAAATATTAATACAAATAAATCAAATCCACTTTTTTTAAAATTTTGGTGGTGGATTGGGTAACATTTTTTGACCCCCCCTCAATTTACCCCCCCCCCCCCCCCTTCAGAAAACTATTTCAGATAATTATATTTTTCTCACTTGGAGTCCAAATGAGGTTCTCTGTTGATTGAATTTCAAAAGCTTATAGGGAGTTCACTCCCAACGGACATAGCCCCTACGGACAGTGGTTTGGACCTAGTAAGAGCAGTGGTGGTTTGTAATTATATGCTTTCCATCTGCATAATTGCACTTTCCCTTATACTTATTTTAACCCTGTGCCTTTATGAGGAAGAACAAAATCACATAATCTTTAAATTACATACTAGATTTTGATTGTCTTTCTTAATGTTTATGAAAGACACTTATATTTGCTGGGAAAACGTCAACGATTTTTTTTAGTCCCTTACCGGTGAAATCAAGGGGAACTTAAGTTTCCTCTGCGTCTGTCCGTCCGTCCGTCCGTCTGTCTAGCTGTCCGACCGTCTGTCTGTCCCTGTCTGTCTGCCAGTCTGTCCCACTTTGTTTTCCGCACTTTTTTCTAAACGCTTGCAGATATTGAGATAAAGAATGAATCGTTTAAACGCCCACATTTGGCCCCCCGATAATTTACAAAAAATAAGTTTAAAGAATTTCTACATATTTTTGTCTTAATCTTTTCATCAAACATTGTAGTTTATTAATTTTATTTTCAATTTTCACTTACTTGCACTGTAATTGGGTATTGATCTGATTAATATAGTAGGGGTACGTTGTTTACATCGATTTCCCATAGACTTTAGGCCACACCCCCATCTTGAAAGCCCAATTTTTATATGAGCGCATTGATGTTTCAAGTTGTAGTAAATAGGGTCAACGTAAAGAGATAAACTTGACATTTTAATTCATGAAAGAAATTGAAACAGTCATGCGCTCACATGTTATTTTTCAAAAAGGTGCAAAATCACGGGTACCTGTCTCTATAGTAAGGGCACCTTGTTTACAAATTTCAACCGGCCTTTGACCTCATGAATAACAAAGCATTGAACACGTGACTCAAATCTACATGTATTCACTTTCATGCTTTGAGCAGATCAATGCGACATCGTGTCCAGTGTTGCGAGCTATCGATGGTAAAATCCTTTTCAAATAGGTACATGTAATTAGAATTTAAAGTACCATGGGATAAAATTTCTTTAAAACGGTATATTTAAGACTAGTTCGCATTTTTATTAACTTGTTATTTCAGTCAATTTTGTTTGATTTTTTCACGGTATTTATCAATATATTTTGGAGGCTTGTAGCATAAAGCTTGTATTTACTGCTTATATCTCATTAATACAGAATTTGAAAAAAAAATACAGAGAGCATATATATTATCAATTTGCATACATGTACATCACATCAACGTTACG